GCCTGGGCCGCGCCCGGAGGACACGGTGATGTACGGCGAGCCACGGCCCCTTACTAGCTAACGCTGGACGCCCAGGGTACATAAACCAAGGTGCGCGCGGGTCCTAACACCAGCCTCGGTAGGGCTCTCTGCGCGGGGGAGGCCCTCAAAAATTAGCCAAGGGTCTGCAGAAAGATCATTTCAGAAAACATCAGGTGGCAGTCGGGCGCAGCGGCACACACCTGCCATCCCAGCACTTGGGAGGCTGGGGCAGGAGGATCTCTGAGAGCTCACGGCCAGCGTGGGCTACACAGTGCCACCCATCTGAAGAAACAAAGGAACCAAGAGCGCAGAAGAAATGTAGCACAGAAGAGACGGTCTGTAAACCCGGATGTGTACGGGTTCCGGGCCTCTGTTCTTCTCGCCCGGACATAATGCGGGGCTGGCCCCGCTGCCGGGCCAGAAGCCGAGAGCGTCCCGCCTGCCGTCCTCCAGATTGGGTCAATCAACAACCCGCCCCCCAACCTGATTTTTGCAGCACTGGGTCTTCGACCGGGCCTTCTCTTTAACGCCCCAGCCCTTTGTATTTATTTAGACACAGGGTCTCGCTAAGTTGCTAAAGTACCCAGGCTGGGCTCAAACTGCGACCCTCCTGCCTCAGCCTCCCAGAGCGCTGGGCTCACAGGCTCCTTGGCACAGTGAATGGACGGTCCGGGTCTTTGGTGGACCCCCGAGAAGGAGAGACGCATTCCGTGAGGGGCCTCAGATGGCGGGACCGAGTCCGGAGAGGGGAAGCGGAGGGTGCGGGCCGGGCAGATGAGTACCGTCCGATCGGGCCGAACCTTCCCGGGTTTCGGTCCTTACATCGGTGGCCTCGAGCTGGAGGAAGCCCTCCTGCCTCGGCCGCGTCTGAGTTGGGAAAGAAGGGACTGAGATCAGGCGGCGCGCGTGGCCCTCGGACCCTGAGCCCAGGGACCGGTTCTCACCCGGAGTGCGAACTCCTCCCCTTGCTTCAGCCCCCGGGGGAAGCCGGAGATCAGGAAACCCCGCGCGTCGCCCAGCCTGGCGGTCATGGCCTCCTGCAGCAGCTCCAGGACGACGGCCTGCGGCAGAGACCAGAGATGGCGGTCAGGACGGGGCTGGTCAGCACCGCACGGCCGCGCCGCACCGGCTCTTTAGGGATTTGGAGACGGGGTCTCGCCATGGCGCCCCGCTGGCCTCCGGCTCGGACCGGGCAGGGCTTGGCGGAGCACAGCCAGCAAGAGGGCGCAGAGCCGCCTCGGTAATTATGGAGTTTACAGGGAGAGAGGGGGACAGCTGTACACGCCACATGTGGGAGGCTGAGGCAGGAGGATCGCTATGAATTTGAGGCCAGCCTGGGATGCATAGCAAGATCCTGTCTCAAAAAAACAAAAATACAACAAAAGCATAACGAGGAAGCCAGACACAGTCCCCAGCCCGCCCCTGGCCCTGCAGCGCTGGCCCGGCTCACCGAGGGCGCCTGCTCCTCGCGCTCCGCACTGGCCCGGATCAGCCGGCTTCGCTCCGAGTTTGCCACCAGCTCCGCCCGCAGCAGCCGCCCGGGGGCCAGGTGCGCCAGACCGTACTTGGCCGCCAGCTTCTCGCACTGTGCGCCTTTGCCGGAGCCTGGGCCGCCTGCAGGAGAGATGCCCGCTCAGCGTGTGCCCTCGGCCCGTGGAGACCGCGGGGACAGCGGGGACAGGAGCGGGGTGCCGGGAAAGGGCGCTGGCCCCGCCCCTGACTGCTCACAACCCCAGAGGGGCTGTCTCAGCGCATACAGCAGGCGTGGTGACGCTGGGAGGCTGAGGCAGGAGGATCACAAGTTCAGGTCCAGCCTGTGCAATTTAGAGACCCTGTCTCAAAAAATAAAAGTGGGCCGAAGACGTAGCTCGGAGTGAGGCCCTGGCACGCAGCCGTCAGGATGAACTCTGGGCAGGCACAGGAGGCCCAGTGGCTGCAGGACACAGGGGTGGTGGCCGTCCGGGCAGAGCTCTGGGACGCTGGCCACCAGCCGGCCCTGGTCCTAGCACAGCCCCCTCAGAACCCGTCCTGGGTCCCGTCCACCTGGCGAGGTGGCCCACACCTGTGATCTCAGCACACGTGAGGAGCATCATCAGTTTGAAGCCAAGCTGGGGTGCACAGTGAGCTCAAGGCCAGCCCGCACCGCACAGTGGGAACCTGTCTCTGGTAAATAAAGACATGGTATCTGTACACTTTGAAGGGTACAGTATAACTCGATGGGTGCATGGGTACAATGTGTAATGATCGGATCAGGGCAACTGGCTCCTTTTCCTCAAACATTAATCACTTTTGCCATTCCTCACCCCCCATCATCCCTGCTTATTTCACTTACTTAGCACAGTGTCTTCTGGGATTTATCCACACGCAAGTGGTGTGGTTCCTCTTTTTGCTGGCTGTGTAATATTTCACCCGACACACACACACACACACACACACACACACACACACACTATATACATGCATCCCTGTGTGTCTGAAAATACACACGGCACTTTCTCTACCCTTTATTCATCCTTTCTGACTCTACCCCTTGGTCCAGGATCAGATGCTCTCCCATACAGGAAGGAGATTCACCCCCAGCTCTGTACTGCCCCGTGCTGCCTACAGCTTGGGGTCACCCTCTGCCCAGGATCCCCAGGGACAACCTCAGCTCCGGTCCCTCTCAGCGGAAGGGCCACTGTCTCTCCCTGTGCAGCCTCGGCAGATGGCCCAGGAGGGGTCCCCAGCGTCTGAGCAGCTGTTCTCGCCGGATGTGCAGGCCGGGACCTCGCAGTCTGTCACGGGTGGCTGGACACGAGGGAACCATGACCCACACCGCCACCACGTCCGGGAAGAGCTGCCCACAGATGACAGGGCTCAGCTGGGCCGAGGCACTGGGACCCCCGGGGCCGCTCCGCGGTGGGGGGAGCAGATGTCAGGAAGCAGAGGGCCGCATCTGGGGAGGTCTGCTTTGGGACAGCCTCCCCCGAACAGGGCCACGACAGCCGGCTGGAGGACACAGCCGGGCCCCACGGCCATGGTTTGCAGCAGGGGTCAGGGTTGAGGGAGGACGAGGCTCGCTCCTTCCTGGAAAGGGGGCGGTTTCTCTCCTGCGAAAGCAGTTTCCATCCCGTCCTGACGCAGCCTCTGTGTGGCCGAGGCTTTCACCTCAGGACTTAACAAAACCCAAGGGGCCCTGAAGCCCCAACAGCATTCTTTGCGGGGAACAAACCCCTCTGAGGAGCCACCTGCAGAACAGGCTGGCAAGGTCTGGGCCCGCTGCACCCTGAAGGTGCTGTTAGAACTGCAGGGGCCAGAGGGTGTTGTCTTCATTCTCAATCGCAAATGCAACCGTTTTTTCTTTCGGTTCTTTGAGACAGGGTTTCGCTGTGGCCTTGAGCTCGCGGTGATCCTCCTGCCTCAGCCTCAACTGCAGGGAACACAGGAGCATCTGGACTTGGTGGCGGGGTCTCAGCCCCGGGGCACAGGCTGAGGAGTTCACAGGGCCCTGCCCCGCCGAAGTCCCCTGGCAACACTCCTTTCTGGAGGACCTAATTTAAAACTTGAAAACAGAAATCTTACACCGCATAGCAGCGCAGTTTCCCCAGGGCAGCCTTCGGTCTTTGAACCTCGAGGTTCCTGGGAGGCCCGGGTCGGTGGGGGTCAGGGGTGGGGGTGTCCCCGCCCCTCTGCTCAGCGGCCTCCTCACAGCCACTGTCCCCGGTTTCCCAGGCGTCCCTTCCCGAGAAGGACCCATGAAGCCTCCTAAGGGCCCCAGCCACAGACCCCTACAGGCCAAGCTTAGCTCGTCGGCGTCCACCCTCAGTCAGTGCCGGCGGGCGGGGTCCTCCGTGGGGCGCGGTTTTCACCCTAATGCTAAGAACGTACAAGACCATATTCAATAAAAACTGTATCCAACTAGCTAGCCTGTGCGTTCATCTCTATAACGTCCTCGAAGGGAAAGAGAACAGAAGGAAGGAAGAAGAAGAGGGTTAGGGAGGAGGGTCCGTCACACTCCTGAGGTACCCACGAGGGCTGGGCGTGGTGCACACCTAGGGCTGCAGCACTCGGGAGGCTGAGGCAGGAGGACTCAAGCTTGAGGCCAGCCTGGGCTATGTGGAGAGTTCAGGGCCAGCACAGAGTACGTGGTGAAGCCCTGTCTCAACGAAACAAAACACCTCGAGGAAGCAGGAAAGAGGTTAATTGGGCTAGGGATGTAGCTCAGGGGCACCTGCCTGCCTCGCAAGTGCAAGCTCTTCAGTTTGATCCCCAGTATGAAAAAAAATTTAATCTTGACCCTTCCTCCATACTATTGTATTATTTTTCATGGCAAAGTAGGACGTATGCACAGAACCCTGTGGCACACCTAGCAGTCCTGGGTTGCCTGGCGGAAAAGAACTTGTGCGATTGTTTGAGCTCTGACCTAGTTGCTTTTAAATCACCCAAATTAGGGATTTTTGGGGGGTACCGGGGATCGAACTCAGTGCCCTTGTGCTTGTGAGGCGGGCGCTGGAACCCCTGGGCTAAATCTCCGGCCCAAGAATTTTTTAATGAGTACCTAGCAGGCATTTTCTTGAAAATAAATGAAGCCTGTCCCCTCGAGAAAAACAACCGGCAGCATCTGTTGCTAATGTTAAACCTCGCAGCCTAGATGTGCTGTTCATCAGCGAATGGCTCAGCCCCCAACCACCCTGGGAAGCCGAAAGGCATCGCCTGTCTGGTCCCGGCCGGCTGAAGACCGGACTCCGAAGGGCTTTCTACCGCGTCTGGCCTGGCTTCCCGGCAACTGACGCCGCTTCTGTTGGGGCCACGCTGAGCTAAAGCAATTGGATGTTTTCATAATTAATTTACCCACACATGGGAGGTAACGAAACCAAGCGTGTCACGCCGAGCCTCACGGTGGAGACTTGTAAAAACCAACCCGGATTTCTTTTACGATGGTCCCACAATGAAGCGACAGTAAGGCGCCTATGAAATAGTGCCAGGCACAGAATTTAAACTGAGTTTAAGGCACAAATTCGTATTTCTCGGCTTTTCCTCAGGAAAGCAAAGAGAGCTATTTGTGCAGGGCTTAAAATGCCTAGAACAGCACAAAACGCTGTCCAGGCAGCTCGGGAGCTCACGGCTTAGCAGCGTCCATCTCGGCACAGAGCTGGGGCCAGGCCACCGTGTCCCCGCTCCTGCAGAGCTGCGGCCCTGGCCGGGGTCTGGACGTCCCTGAGAGGGCAGCTGGGCTCGGGTGTGCACCATGGAGACCGAGGGTAGGGCACGTTTGGGTGTGAGCAGGCGACGGACAAGGGAAGAGGACCAGGAGCCCAGACAGACAGGTAAGACACAGACGGAGAAAAGGGCGGGAGGGAGCTTCCAGAAAAGGCTGCGGAGAGTGCAGGCGTCTGTGGGACACAAGGAGGCTCTCACAAGAATGTAGACTCCTTTTGGGGGACAGGGTCTCCTCCACGGTCCAGGGTGGCCTTGAACTCTTGGAGGTCCTCGGCCTCCCGAGCTGGGATCACAGGCGTGCGCCACCACACCTGGCCTCTTTGAGTATATTTTCACATTTTCCAAATATTCTGACTCCAGCAACAGCTGAGTCTGTCTCGTACCACACAGGTGCTCGTCTCATCGGTGGAAAAACTTATGCTGGAGGAACCCTTTCTGCCCTCGGGTCTGCGCTGAGAGCTGCTCTTTCAGGACGAGCGGGCGGAGCCCACAGGCGGCTCAGGCCGAGCTGCAAAGGCGCCCAGGTGCCAGCCACGCACCTGCGACCCGTCCGGGGGCCCTGCAGCAACTCGCCTGTCAGCACGGCTGCGCTGCGGACTCTGACAATCCAGGTTGCTATGGAAATGGGCCACGCTGCTTCCTAAAGAATTCATTATTTCCACAAATATATTTTCTTCTCATTCTAGGACGTCCAGAGGAGCAACTCAGACACCGGGATGGAGCAGCCCGGGAGTGAGGCTGGTGAGGAGAGCAGAGCGGGACTTCAGCCAGACCTTGGGGAGGATTAGAGCAGCCAGCAGGGCCCCAGGAGCCCGGCTGGCAGGGGAGCTGACTGGAGGTGCAGTCCAGGGGGCCTGGGCGGGGCACCGCAGGACAGCGATCAGTGTCAAGGGTAACAGTCACACACATGGGGTCCTATTTCTGCACAGCAAAGGAAACAACTAACAGAGCGACGGGAAAACCTACAGAACAGGAAGAAAATGTTGGCCACTCCTGCTTGAACTGAGGACTGGTATCTAGAATATGTAAAGAACACACAGAATTCAAACCCCCCAAAATAAAAGACATAATCAAAAAATGGGCAACAGGAATGAACAGACACTTCTCGGAAGAAGTACAAACAGCCAAAAATATGTGAAAAACCGTTCAATATTTCTGGCCATGAGAGAAATGCAAATTAAAACAATACTGAGATCCCATCTTACACCAGAAAGCATGGCCATCATCAAGAAGTCAATCAATAACAAATACCGGCGAGGCTGCGGTGGGGAAAAGAAACCCTTCTACGTTGTCGATGTGAATGTAAAATAGTGCAACCAACCCCTATGGAAACCCACACGGAGAGTCCTCAAAAAAATTAAAACTAGGAATTCTATTTGATCAAGCTATTGCCCTTCTAGGTACCTTCCCAAGAGTTAAAGGCATCATTTTACAGTGATCCATGCACACCCGTGTTCACAGTAGCACAACTCATAGTAGCTAAATCTTGGAAGTGCTCTATTCATCTATACACCAATAGATGAATGGATAAATAAAATGTAGCATTTATACACAATGGAGTACTACTCTGCCATAAAGAAGAACAGTCATTTATAGAAAAACAGATGCACTTTGAGGAGACAGTAATGTTAAGTGAAATCAAACTTTGTGTGTGTGTGTGTGGTACTGGGGATCGAACTCGGATCCTTGTGCTTTCGAGGCAGGCGGTCGCACCACTGAGCCAAATCCCCAGCCTGGATTCTCTTATATGAGAAACCCAAATTATAGGTAAAAAGTAAAATAAAAGACAGCAGAAAAGACCCTGGCTAGTAACTACAGCCCAGCTGTGCTTCTGCTAGATGCCAAGGCAGTAATTAAGATAAACTGAGAAATTCAGCCATTCAGACAAAACCACTGTCCCACTGCAACCTCGGTTCTTAGTGACTAAAATTCAGCATTTATGACACCCTATCCTGTGATTTCATAAGCTTGCTTCACACTGAACTGTGATAATACAGCCTGAATCATTGTGCCACCTGACAAGGACATACTGGCATTTAGGGTGAAGAGGAAGGAGGCGTCCCCTGTACCTCTGCTAGACAGAACACTGAAATCTTTTCTTTTTCTTTAAATATAACCAGAGTAGTGACTGACCCGTAAGTTGAAATTCAGGACAGTCTGGCTGATACAAGAAAAACCTGTTCCTATAGCAACAGTTCTCCGAGTGTGAGTCTTGAGCTGTAAGGCCAGAGGTTTGCTGTTGTGCTCTGACTTTCTAGAGACCACAGAACTCCGGAACAGGCGATGTGAGGTCCATGGTTCTGCCTAGAGCCAGACTGGACGCTTGGAAATGCGCTCCTAGTTGGCCTCTGAAAGAGCGATACTGCTGGAGACAGGCCCAGCCACCACACGATGGACCGTGCCGCTGTTAGAAGAAGCCTTTTGGCCTCACCACATTCCCAAAAGGCGGACTTCTCTCCCACGCTGCAGGGGTCCTCCTTTGAATCTCTGTAAGCTTAAAGGATCTATCCTTTTTCTAATTTGGTGTTTTGTATAAAAGCCTAAGAGCAAATATCACAGTGCACAGTCTGCACGCTACGAAAACAGATTATTAAGATCTGTGTGGGAGAGGGAGTATTTCTGTTCACTAAGTTTACTGGTACGCTTTAGGTGTACAACACAATCACAGTCATCATTGGGATCTTGTACCCTTACGTGATGTATCTTGGTTCATATTTCCCTGCTCCCCTGCCCTCCCTTCAGCCTAACCCACGCTTCCCTGTTTACAAAGACTTTGTTTCCATTTTTCCTCCTTTTCTCATGTTTATTCCTTTCCCCTACCCCTCCCACTTCCCCTTTGGACCTTTTTTTCCTGTTCCACATTATCTGTTGTACACTTCGATCCTCTCAGTTTCTCACTGTGGTATTTACACGCGTGCGTCCTGTTACGTCACTGCGGAGTGTGGCCTCAGCGTGCATCCACTGGACTATAAGTGTCTCTAGTTTCTCATTTCTTCTGTTGTTGTTGTCACCGTTGTTAGTATCGGGGATCAAACCCAGGACCTGTGCTCCTGAGGCAGGCGTGGTGCCACTGAGCTAAATCCCGGCCCTCTACTTTCTCTAGGACTTCATTGTATTTAAAAAAAAAAAATCACATCTTCTTTATCCAGTCTCCAGTTGCTGGGTCACTGGAAAGGGAGCTTTTAGTAATCTACAAGCAAAGTGATGATACTAAGTTCCCCTTCAGAAGAAACCTGAGACACACATTTCACCTTCTGAAAACAGAATGCAGTCAGTGTGGGAGGGAAGAGCGCATCCACGCCCTCAGGTCGAGGCCCAGCCTGAGGCCCCCGGGGAGCCTCACTCCTCCTCCCAGACCCGGGCATCTTCCCTCGCCATCCCACGGGGCGATCGGCCCATGTCGGAGTCCTGGTCCGTCTGCCGCTCTGTGTGCGAGGCCATGGTCCCTGCTCCCCTCGCGGCCCCGGACGGGTGAACGGCCCTGGCCAGACCTCTTTGTCTTGGGCCTCGGCTCCCTTCCGAGGGACGCGGATCCAGGGCAGGCCCAGGTTCTCCCTGCTACTTCCTCATCTGCGCTCCCCCCGTGAGGGTGGGACAGACCCCCCAGGCCAGTGCTCCACTGCCCTGTCACACCCCTCTCCCCCGAAAGAGTGCACAGCACCGCACAACGACCGCTCATTGTCATGGGGGAAACCGGAAGCCCGCTTTCACTCATCAGCTACATGAGCTGGGAGAAGGTCCTTAACCTACCCGAGTCAGTTTTCTCATCTGTGTAACAGGCTTGCAATACAACTAGGATGAAGTGAGGTAACCTGTAAAGACATCGTATTACAGTGATCCCTGCACACCCATGTCAGAGCAGACCAATGAACAGCTAAGTCTGTAAACCGATAAGGAAAATGTGGCGTTTATACACAATGCAATACTACTCTGTCACAGAGAGGGACACATCGGAGTCCTGTGTAGGAAAATGGATGCGCCTTGAGACCACAAAGTTAAGCGAAATAAATCAAACACACCCACTTAAATATCTCATGCTTTCTCTTATAGGAGAAACCCAAGGTATAAATAACTTAAAGAACAAAATGAAAGGTCAGTAATAGGAAACAGAGAGATAGATCTTTTGCTAACGGAAGGGGACCAAGAGATGGAGCAGGGAGGGGAGGACAGGAAGGGGATGAAGAAGAATTAAGCTGTGTTCTGTACAGCACCGACTCCCCACGAGAAGCGAGTCACTATGCACTGCCAGCAGGCACTACAACAACCAGGCCACTGGACCCAGCAGGTGCTCAGAGGGCGTGAGCTAACCCCACGTGTTTCATCATCCCACAGTTCATTTGTCCACGGGTGTCATACACTAGGGCATGGAACAAACGGGACTCCCTCTTCCACCCCATAGTGTCCTGGGGATCAAGTGCTAGGCCGGCAGCCAGCGCTGAGCTAGGACCCAGCCCCGCTAGGGTGTTTTCAGGGTGTGGACACCAAGCGCGCCTAGGCGGGTCTACTGAACATGTGGTCACGGGCACGTTCAGTTTAGGACGCAGAGGGCCGGTGTTCACCCAGGCGGGGTGTGTGTTAGACTTGAACACACAGCAGCCTCCTGGCCTCGTCATGGGCTTTACTATTGTACAGCCACGCTCTGAGGGGTTTGAGTTCACTGACCTGGAACTCAGTGACTGCTAGCACCTTTTGGTTCAGATACCTGTGAGTGTGGGGCTCCTGGAAGTGAGCTGGGCCACATGAGTCCTGCTGAAGAGACACAAGACCAAAAGCAGTGTAAACTGCGTTAAGTGCGGGTGAAATCTGGAAACCTCCAGCGTATTACTTTGACCAAAAAAGAAACAAACTTCAAAATAGGATGAGAAATGAAGAGCCTTTTCCCCCTACTAAGATGCTATCAACAGCAACTGTATTAGAAAATTTGAAGGCTGTTACTCACCCATAATGAAAATAATTTTACATTTCCTCAATTCTTCCACGAGACCTTTAAGAGAAGAATAATTTAAGTTATTGTTAAAAAATACTGCACTGAAGTCCTGATTTTACTCACATTAAGAAAATACAACAGTCTTGTAGTTCTGTTCAGTAAGAAACTTGAACTTGAGCCAACAGGTTAAAAGGCCACAATCAGCAGGCACTGACGACTACTTGAACCTTATTCCCAGACATAAATATATTTTCATTTGAACATGTGCTACCAATCTTACGTGGTAAAGTGGTACCATTAAACAGTGTGAATCACAAAGCAGGCTAATTCCTTTTTTTTTTTTTTTGGTACCAGGGATCGAACTTGGGACCTAACCCTTGCAAGGCAGGAAGCGGAACCACTGAGCTAAATCCCCGGCCCCATGACTCTTAATTCTTTTCTCAAGTTTACTGGTGCATTTTAGGTATACAATACAGTTACATTCATCATGGGGAACTTCTACCTTTACATGATCTGTCTTGGTTCTTATTTTCCCCATTCCCCTGCCCTCGCTTCAAACTCTCCACCCCTCCCTATTTACAAAGACTTTGTTTCCAGTTTTTCCTTTCCTCATATTTTTCCTTTCCCCTATTCCTCCCACTTCTCCTACCCCATTTAGACCTTTTCTTCCTATTTCACAAAATGTATCGGTTGTACATTTTGACCCTTATTTACACTTTTAGTTTCTCACACCACGGAAGCTATTCGGTATTTTACAAATGTGTGTCCTGTTTACTTCACTTAAGAGTACGGCCTCAATGTGCATCCATTTAGCTATAAATGTCTCTAGTTTCTCATTCTTCATGGCTGAGTAGTCCCCCATTTTGTTTATTCATTTTGGTACCGGAGATCAAACTGGGGTCCTTTGATTGCAAGGCAGGCCCAAGAACCACTGAGCTAAATCCCTGGCCCTAGTGCTCCATTTTATTACACTTACACACACACACACACACACACTTCTTTATCCAGTCTCCAGTTGATGGGCAATTGGGCTGTTTCCAAGCTTTAGCTATTACAAACTGTGCCGCTATAAACATGGGTGAGCTTATATCACTGTGGTATGATTCTTTTAATTCTTTTGGGAAGATACTCAGTGCTGGGTCAAATGGGACCTCTAATCCTAGTTCTTTGAGGTACCTCCATATTGATTTCCACAGTGGTTGCACCAGTCTGCACTCCCACCAACAACAGAGAAGGGTTCCTATCTCCCCACAACCCCGCCAGCATTTGTCATTGTGTGATTTCATGATAGCAGCCATTCTCTCTGGGGTGAGGTGGAATCTCAGTGTTGTTTTCATCTGCACTTCTAGAATGACCAGTGATGTTGAACATTTCTTCATATATTTAGTTGCTGCTTTTACTTGTCTGTCTGAGAAATGCCTGTTCATTTCGGATGCCCATTTTTGAATTGGGTCTTTATATTTCAGGGGTCAGATTTTTTTTTTAGGAGTCTGATTTTTTAAAGTTCTTTATATATTCTAGATAGTAGTCCTTTGTCTGAGGAGCAGCTGATAATTTTTTTCCCACACTGTAGGCTGTCGCTTAGCTCTGCCGGTTGTTTCTCTTACAGTGCAGAGGCTTTTTAATAAGATGAGATCCCAGTTGTTCATTCTTTGCGCTAGTTTCTGTGCAACTGAGGTTTTTTTTCACAAAAGTCTTTTCCTATGCCAATGCCTTTGAGAGTTCCACCTAACTTATCTTCCAGCAAGTTTAGTGTTTGTTTTAATATTTAGATCTTTAATCCACTTGGATTTTAGTTTAGTGTACGGTGAAAGACAGGGGTGTAGTTTTAATCTTTGGTAGGCTGAAATCTAAGTTTTTCCAACACCATTTATTAAAGAGGCTATCTTTCCTTCAGTGGGGATGGTCAGCTCCTTTGTCAAAGATGAGGTAGTTGAGTACATCTGGAGTTGTTTAAAGCAGGCTAATTTTAAAACTTCATTTGAAATGTTTGTCAGTATCTTAGTTTGGTGCTATTTCACATTTGCTAACCTTCCTTTTAATAAAGAAGAGTTAATGTGTAAGTGGAATATCTAGAAGACACAGTTTTGAAAAATAGTTCCTATTTACAGCAAATTATGCTTTTTTCCATTTAAAGTCAAGATATAAAAGTTCCTTTTAAAACAAATGTATTTGAGCAACAAGAGTGAGTCAATTTACAGAGCAATATTAAGTAAATGATACGCAGTATCAGTGTATAAACAATAAATCTCAACAGTGACAGGTGAGATCTGGCGCTTGGGAACCCTGCTTTGAGGGAGAGGAACGCTTCACAGTAGGAATTTTAGGCCAAGCGCGAATCTGTCTGGCACTGCAGAGCCCTAGAGGATTTATGGCTGTCAAGTGTTGTACCGGGAGCCTGAAAAGTGGGTGGATGAGAGCTACATTTCTGGTTGTCCTGCCAACTGGCTGGATCTCCACAAGTGAATCAGTTTCTCCATCTCTAAAACAAGTGTGTTGAACTCGGTGACTGCTGACACCTTCTGGTTCCAAATACCTGTGATTCCGGGGTTTCTGGAAGTGAACGGGCCCCTCTGTGGCCACTACTGGTCACTCAACAGGAAGGGGGATATTGTTTCAGATCTCTCCCTAAACAAAGCACCATCCCAAGTGACCCTGGCAAAGGTCAGGTCAACCTGGAGGGGCAACTTCAATCCAGACTCCAATGAGGCACAGCCTCGAGAGCCCGGGCTGTCTGGGTTTGGAAAACGCTGGTGGTTGCTGCTCAAGTCTGGAAGCAGAACTCCTCAAACTCTAAAAAGGCAAAATTTAGAGCGAGGGACCAGAGGACGAGAGGAACCACAGGGCCACTTAAGACTGCTTTGGAGAGGAGCCTGGACTGGCGCGCTTTACGGTCTGAGGTTTTATTGAAACCCAGCCAGCCACGACAGTGCAACACTTGGCACGCTGCTTCCTGGGCTGGGCCAGGGCTGGCTCAGGCCAGGGGACAAGGCTTTTGGCCAAAGACCGCAGGGCAGCTAGTTCAGCCAGTTGGGACCGGGGAGGGCACCAGAAGCAAACGGGGTGGTGATGGCCACACATCTCCCCAGCTCCGGTTTCATCCTTGGACCGGCTAGTTCCGGGCAGCTTGGTCCAGCATCTGCAAGCGCAGGGTGTGGGTGGAGGCGAGGCAGGCTGATTCCAAAAGAACTACAAGGCTTCCAGAAAGGTCTCCCTGATGTGCGTGGGCCAAGCCAGGCACAAGTCCAGCATGAAGTCCGTGGGTGCTGGCGAGCGGGAGCCCTCAGCGCGGGGGTTTTCCCGCAGCACCACGCTGTCCAAGCGAAGGCGCCAAGGCTGGCTGCTCTGCTCAGACAGAGGCGAGGGCCGAGAGTGACAGGAGATGCCGAATAACTTATTATCCTCCCAAATCCCTGCACTGAGGGAGACGCTTTTCAAACTGCAAGACAACCTAGGAGACAGGACTACTACCATGTGGGATGAAAAGCTTGCGCGGAGATGTAGCGCCATCACTCAGGTCCGGGCCTCTGGTGTGTGTTGGAGGCTCCCCAAACTGCGTTCTAGACCTGGGCTGAGCTTCTGGAGCGGCTGAGTTCCAGTCCAGAGGGGATCTCTGGGCCCTGGGCCCGGCCTGGGTAGCAGCTACTTTCCCCATTCCTCTGGGTGACTAAAACAGTGGTTGTGATTATTTGAAGTTGTCAAGTTTTTAATTCTCATATTACTGATAAAATTGCAATTTTTATACTTAATAGGACTGTAGCTTATACTTCATGTTTATGTAGATGGTTACTTTTGCAAGATCTCTATTCTGACAGTTATAGAACTTATATTTTAGTGGAATTTTGGGGGGGTAATTCTGGGGACATCTGTCCTGAGCTACGTTCCCCAGCCTTTTAAACCATTTTTGTTGATTTTGGTACTGGGAATCGAACTCGGGACCATGCGCTTGCGAGGTACGTGGTGGAACCACTGAGCTAAAGCCCCGGCCCCTTGTTTTTTGATGCAGGGTCATGTTAAGTTGCTAAGCTGCCCAGGCTGGGCTTGAACTCACAATCCTTCTGCCTTGGCCTCCCAGAGTGCTAGGAGTGGTGCTTTTACATACAAAATGCTACATATTTGCAGGAATCCATTAAGAGCTGAGCAAAAGTGCCAATTCTACGTGTCGGAGGTGGGGTCACAAGCTCCAGACTACAGAGGAGCTCACGGAGAGTGGGAAAATCTTACGGTGTCTGGAGTCTTCTATTAAAAACAGATCCATCAGTGTCCCTAACGTGTGGGACCAGACAGCCACCTCATGAGGCGGCGCAACTCTGAATCTATTTGCAATCTGGAAGCGGCCACGGTGATCACTCTCTGCGCCTGTGTGTACTCTGGTGTGACTATATCCCAGTTCAGTTTTTTAAAATAGCTTTTAGTCGGGGACAGTACCTTGTCACAATGTCATTACAAATTATTTTACGGCCTTTTTAATGATATGGAAGCATGACTATAATATGTACAGAATATTGGAGCCATGTGTATATACGGGTATTCTCAACTATAAAACTAGGCAGATGGAAAATGCCCTGAAATGAAATACACTGGAATGTTATCTATGATTATTCATAGGTTCTAAGGTTTTAGATGTCTGTTATTTTCCATCTCAAGAAATTCCACAGTGTGTAAGTTTATAACCAGGAAAAAGGAAAACAGCAGTAAGCAATCCATCATTCCATGCCCCGTGGAGACGGAGTTGATTCTTTGCACTTTGCTCGGTGACAACTAAGTTATGGCTCGTGTTTGTGTGTTTTCTCTGTGAATCACCATGATGTCACTGGTGACTGTGTTATTACCGACTGACACTCTATCTACCCCGCATGCTGGGATTGATGCAGGATTAGAGCCGGCGTTGTTTAAAGAGCCTCATTACCTACTTCCTGTGTTCATAGTCAATACTGTAAACAGGTTTCCACGACCCCCAAAGATAACAACCTGTTTTACAAAGTGGAAATGTTAGAAATATTTTTTCTTGGGCCATCACGAACCTTACCTTTTCTGACCAGTCCTAAATTCACATCCTTTTATCTGTTTTCATTTACAGGCATAGCTAGTTGGGAGTGGATTTTTATATCTGTGAGACTTTTAATATGACAAAAACTACACGGCAGTGAGGTCTTGGCGTGTGCTGGGTGGGTCCCAGTAGTACACTGCTGAGTGGTAGCTACCATGGGGGAAAGGAGTTTATGGTCCAGTTCAGCTTGGAGAATGTCAATTAAAGTTGGACAGCTCTCTACGGAGGACTTGGGGTGGGGGCTTGCTTTGCTAGTATTATGTGACTCTCCAAACGGAAATGGAAAGTAAAGACTTCCTGCACGTGTCTGAACACAGAGCACCTTGAGAGTCTCGTTCCCCAGGCGGTGATGAGACAAAGCCCGTTAGCGCTTCCCTGGCCCAGAAGGAAGAGATCCACAGAGTTCCACTCCGACTCTCACTCACGATGGTGTTTACCATCTCTTAGCTGCTATTCCATGAAGGAACCACGGCCAAGGCCACTGCAGTCCTTCCCAGTCTGCCCAGCGGAGGAACTCACCTCCCACAGGGTCCTCTCCAGAGACGTCCAGCCGGTCATCGTCCTGTGGAGAGAGGCACAGCATGAGAAGATGATCCTAACGGTATCATTCAAGCTCCTTCCGAAACTCATTAATGTTCTTCCACTTGCAAACAGCTCTACGAGGGAGGGGCTTCCAAGGAGGTCCGTGAGGAAAGACATTCTGTAGATAGGGAAGCAGAAGTCTAGAAGTTAAGTAGCTGAGGGTCACACAGAACTCACATTTAAACTGAGCCCTCTGTCCCCGGAGTCCATGAATTTTGTAATTACAGAGTAATAATTAATATAGTAATAATTAGTATGGTAATAATACAATAATGCTTATTTTTCTTGGTGCATAAACTGTATGGATGGGAAAGTTGACTTCCAGACAAGATCCTTCAGGGTAAGAAATGAGTGGCTAGGTATGGTCACAGCTGTTCTGTGAATTTTTAACTACATGTTCCATTTTCCTTATAGTGTAGACCATTGTGTTGGGGGAAAATTTGTTTAAAATATTATTAAAAGGCTTTTTCTTTGGATTTTCAGTCCCACCTCTGTCTCCACCTATCTTACGACCTCACACCCTCACCCTGTTTCTTTCCAGGTCCACAAAAGATGACTTCCATACATCCAGGGACACAGGTGATGTCTATATATCCATATGACACCCATTTCACAGACAAGGTAGAATGCTGTTATCACACGTGTTCCTGATGTAACACTGTAATATGCTGTTCTTCCACTTTGCCTTTTCACTCGATGTATTCTGGAGAACTTTCTAGATCAATGGAGAATGTTCTCACGGGAGAATGTTCTAAGTTGTACAGTATTTCATTGTACGGATGATACCATAGTTTTTTTTTTAAAAAATCATTTATTTATTTAGCAGTACCAGGGGACTAAACCAGGGCCTTTGTACTGAGCTACATCCCCAGCCTTTAAAATTTGAGACAGGGTCTTCCTAAGTTGCCCATGCTGGGCTTGAACTTGCCATTCTCCTGCCTCAGCCTCCCAAGGTGCTGCGATTACATGTGCACCCCCAGCCCCACCTTAAAACAGCCCTTTATTAATGGGACATTGGGTTGTTTCCAATCTCTGACTATTTTTGGGAAAGTGGCCCAGAGTAAATGTGTATAAATGTCACTTTACACACACATTCCTGCAGGTACATGGGGGCAGGGTGGAATGGTCACTGAGTAAATGTATTTAAAACTGTGACAGCTTTTTTCCAAAATGTTCTCAAACGGCTGTGCTCTTCTGCAAGGACGGTGTGTGGCTAGCACTCAACCCCGGCCTCCTGCCCTAGTTCACTGTGATGTACCCTGAGGCTGTGTGGGGCACGAACACTCCCCCAGGTAAGGTACGGATGCAGCCCTGGCCCCTTGTACCACACAGACTTCAGGGTGGCTTGCTGCCAGCTCCTCAGAGCCGTTCCAGGTGACAGAGGCTTCGGATGGACGGGGCAGTGATCATGGCCACATGCACCCCTCAGTTCCCTTCCTGGAGCAGAGAACTCCTGCATTCTCTCGGGGGGTGGGGGTGGGGGGGTCCCCGCTGGCTCCGGGCAGCGGCAGCGGCTCTGCTGATGCTGAGCTCTGTGCCCTGAGCTCTCTGCGCTCAGCAGGCAGTGAAGCACTACACTGCCCTCCTCCAGGGGGCAACAATGCTGCCAGGACAGCTGGCTGCCTGCTGGGCACTACCAGGGGCGGCAGATACCTGTGCCCGAGACAGAGACACAGCGCACAGTGAGAGGCTCAATAATGGTGGGCAGAAAACGACCGTTGCTCAGAATCTGCTATTCCTTGTAAAAGCTGTTGAATATGTCCAGGTGATATTAAAAGGAAATCACTGAGTCCTCTCCCTCACTTTTCTTTTTTTAACTGGATTTTGAGACAGTGTCTTGCTATGTAGACCAGGCTGGCCTGGAACTCACAGTGATGCTCCTGCATCAGCTTCCCCAGTGCTGGGATTCCAGATGGGTACCCACCACGACTGGCTTCTCCCTCACATTTTAATGTTACCGTCAGGTTATCCGATCACAGCCACCTGACAGCGACAGCGAGGCTGTATCCGATTGTTCTTGATGTGGTACCCTGACTTGGGAGCTGGAGAGAGGCCAAGCCGAATTCATAAGCCAGTGAAGCACACTACGGAAAAGGACTGTGTGGCCTCAGGCCCCTGGAGCCTGCCCCTCTCATCCTCAGTTCTCATTTGTAGTCTTCTGTTTGCCCAAATGCTGCATGCATCCTATTTCTGTGAAGTTGTTGACAGTAAACAGGCTGCTGGGGCCTCAAAGTCCCCATGGTGGTGAGCTGACACAAAAGCCAGGTGAGCCGAAGTCTCATTGCAGGGAATTATTTTCCAGGGGAAATCAATACATCTCGGGGTGTCCATGTGACTCTCTCCAAAATAAACTTCACACTGGGCGCACGTGCATGCACACACACGCGTGCACACACACGAGCAGTGAACGGTAAACACTTTTGGTTTTGGCAAAAAAGATGCCAACCAGCCCCTAAATCTTGTACTCAGCCAGGCATGATGGTGCACTCCTGTAATCTCAGTACTTGGGAGGCTGAGACAGGAGGATCGCCAACAGTTTAAGGCCAACATGGGTCACATAGTGAGTCTAAGGCCAGCTTGAAAGACATAGTGAGACCCTGTCTCAAAACAACAACAGCAGCAAGTCAGTCATGCACTAAGTCTTGCTTCTTTTCTAGTGTTTTCTGTGTTGTGCATGGAAGGGCATTCATTTTGGAAGATCATCAGGAACAGGGCAGCCCCTGTGGGAAGCACCAGGGAGGGGTTTACACCTGGTGCTCTGGGGCTTTATCTTCAGCTTGTGGCTCTTCGGAAACTCGATGCTGTATCTGACCGCCTCCACTCGGAGAGCTGGTGGTGCCTGAGTCACACACAGCCTCTTCCTGTGGCGCTGTTCCAGACTGTCAACCTCCGTCACCCGAGACTCGGTTAAGGCGCGTGGCTCTGCAGCAGTGAGGCACGGTGACTTCCCAGCAGGGCACCGAGAGGGCCACTCAATCTTCAGAACTGACCAGATGATATAAACACAGGCACCCACTGTATGTAAATGTCATTTCTGACTCACAAACATGGAACCAAGTTGCAGCCGCAGTGATGTGATGAATATCAGCAAAATCTCTCAGGCGATTGAGCTCGTCACGTCTTTCCAATGCTCTGTACTGGGTACAAGTTGGTGACGGTGTGGGGGGACCCGGGGTTCTCCTGAAGGGGCACACACAGAGCCTCAAGGGGGCTCAGCATCATTTGGGGAAACTGCAGGTTTGGACCATGGGTTTGTTTTGGTCTCTCGCTCAGTCTGAAGTGCAGCCAGAGTCACACGGGAGGCACAGCTGCCCACACGCATCCCGCTGTCTGCGGAGCCGGATTTGCAGGAAGAGCTGCGTGTTTTCCTTGGCCTCGTGTGCCAGTCTCTGCAGGTCCAACGTGGAGGTTTGGCCACTTCACTCCCAGGTCCTGGAACGACTGAATTCTAGATCAGGGAGATCCAAAGGGAACCTTAGCAGCGAGATGGGCTCCCTGACTGAGACAGTGTTCTCCGACCTTCTTTGATCTCGGCATAGTGTGTACCCCTGGCTACAGGGCCAACACCCTGTGGCACTGTCCCGAGCGCATGACGGCAGGACGAGCAGCTGGTACTTGGCCTCGTTCACCGCACCACAGCACAGTGGACGAGGACCTGGGTGAGCAGGGCTGGGAGGAGCCTGAATGAGATGGGCTTGGATCATCACTGTCCCAGGAGGTGCCGAGCCCCGGCCTGGCATCCTTGGCGACCCCCTTCACCGCTGCTGGGGGCCTTCCGACTCGGGGAGCCACAACATGAAAGGTGTCCCGGAAGCGGAAGGAGAGGGTGGTCGGCAGCTCCCTCACTCCGTTACTGGTTTGGAGTAACCGGTACATTTCACAGCAGGGCATCAAACGGCATTATGAGGAAGAGACCTGTCTGACAACAGATTGTTGCAATAAAGCTTCATTTCTTGCCCTAAAATTCACACCAAAACAGTGAGGCCAAAAAAGACTATTTTTCCCTCTGATACCAAGTACTGAAAACTTCAAAATGCAAAATAAATAAATACACAAATCTAAACAAAAAAGAATAAAAGTAAAGAATTTCACAGAGATTCTCCAGTTTTGGAAACAGTATATTTTCTTTTCTGATAGCACTGCACAGATGACACAAATTCTGGAAAATCACAAACCATGAAATACTAGCATATGAAGATTTTCCTAGATTCCTACTTAAATTGGTCTGCTGATTTGTCTTTGGTTATAAGAAGTAACAGGAAACAAAAATGTCCTGTAGTTCTTAATACATTAGAACGGTTAAAACAGAGGTACCGAGCTGTTTCCAAATCTTGCAACCCAAAAATAAATTTTTTTGGATTCTGTTTCTCTTATGTCTTCAAAAAAATCATCAAGACCTCAGGTGTAAAAAAACCTCACATGTAAACAATTTTTAGAAATGACTCCTGGAACAGTCATTTAGATGGCGCTGCAGCATTTCCAACAGGAGCACTCCCATCAGATCGCGGTGTTTGCTATTTTGCCTTTTCTAGAGGAGGAAGCCAGGCTGGGAGAGCAGGTGAGGCCTCCACAGGAGGCCAGTGGGCCAGGGGTCCTCCGGGCTCATCCTGTGTCTGCCCTGCGTGGAGGGAGGTAGAAGAGGTGACGCACTGGGCTTGTGTTGCCTGGAGGACCAGCAGGGCACAGGGAGGGTCAGAACCCTCACGGTGGCCTCTAGGGACCACGAGGAGGGCCAGTGCTCACGGGGTCTGGATTGCTGCCCCTCCAGCGTCCAGCCGGAGAAGGGCTTCACACATTTTACCCGCGAGATGCGAATGGCGTTTTTGAAAGCCCCTGGTTCTTTGGTAAGAAAACACTGAAAACTAGAAATAGCCCCACTGCATCAGAAGGGAGAAGGAGGCTGGTCCGCCAGAGATGTTTTGTGTCTTGTAAAGCCTGTTTTCATTTAAAGTAATGGGCAGTTTGAAAAAAATGTACGGG